TATATATATATATATATATATATGTAATATAGGGTATGTGTGGCATGCATAGAGTCATCCTCACGCTGTATTCTTGTCTTCTCAACCTGAGAAGTGAGCTTTTTCATCGTTACACTGCAATATATTCTAGGACATTGCGAGGAAAGCAAGTACGCAAACCAACGAGCCACCGTTGGTTACAATATTATTCGACTTCTTTTTTATTTCTCGCTTAATTTTTCTTTATGAACAAATATATTAATTTATATTGTAAGCAAATAACATTATAGTGCTTATTGCGGCTCAACAATTCGGAATATCCCAGTACTTTATTAGACAAAATATGCTTCAAATTGTCTTAAGAGCTTATTTACGATTTTTCGACGTTTCCTCCCCGGACACATACATACACACTCACACACGTTCCGCACTCCCTGCGGCGGAAAGCACCCCGCATCATGTCCGCGCGAGCCCCTCCCCGCGCCCCTGCTGTCCAAAGAGTGCAGACAAGTCCTGCCCAACTGGCGTTTTGGGACGCCTGCAATGGAGAAGGGGAAGTGGAGTGAGCAAGCATTGCCTTGGGGCGAAAGACCTCGCGAGTGACCAGAGCTGTCCGGCGCGCACCTCGTGCTTCGTAGAACCGATGGCAAGTTCCAGTACTTCCGTTTACGATGAAGGCCCAAATTGTTTCTTACCATTTTGAAGAACAGAGATTTTATTTTCATTTAAAGTATTTTTTGGGGGCTACTTCACCGTGATTGATCAAACGGACATACTACCTCAAAGTTTAATTTTTCTGCGCTTCGATTGAGGCTGTGTGAATATATAAAAAGGCGGTAATAAATTAACTTATTACAAATCGTAGAATATTAGTAATTTAATTAGTTTATTAGTACTTTACCAACTATGTATGTTGTACTGTGACTAACCTATAAACAAGTTGAAATCTGAATGCACATGGAAATAAGCATTTTGCCAAGAATTGATATTATTCGCCAAGCGAATACTCATAGTTTTGACAACGCTGCGCATGTAACAGTGCGTTGCTCGTTTCTTGGTTGAATTAAGGGTTTTCAAGTGCAGCTGAGGTGTTAATAGCTCAGAAAATGCGTATTACATAGGTGTTTCATTAACGCCTATTACTTGTGACAATACATTCAGTTCGGAAAGGTGTCTCTTAGGGAGAGGGTGATTTTTATAAGGGAAATTTCTAGCAATTGCATTATCATACTGTTAACAATTTCAAGGAATGATACAAATCACACCAGAACTTAGAGAAGCAAGAATTTAATAGTTATTAATTGTTATTAATTTTATTTTAATACTTTTATATATAAGCAATTCTACTTATAATTTATTATATCCATAATTGTTTCAAACAAAATTATTTTTATTTTAGGTAACATTTTTAAAATTATATTTATGGAAAAATGAAATATTTGGGTTAAATGGCTTTGCTTCAGAGAAGAGCTGTGGTTTACTGTAGACTTTTGCAAAAGGACTGTTTTGAGCTTTTTTGGAATTTCTATTTTTAAATATTTGAGGTACAGCATTATCAAATAAAATCCAAAATATATTCCAAGTATAAATTTTATAAATACCACCCTAATTATTATAAACATTCGTGTTTCAAGTGTGTATGTACTTACCAGCACTATTCAAACATGAATGCTATTTGCTTCCAAATGTTCTCTTTCTGCTGCAAGCCTTTGTAATATTTGTTTTTCTTATCATACCAAATATCATGTTTTCCACCGTACTGCATAACACTTTCGAATTAACTAATAATTGATATAAAATAAAATTATAATACTTATATAATATTTTAAATTGAATAAAAATGAAAGCTTAATTACACTAGTATGAACAACAAAATTAAACTACAAATATATCGTACACTACAAAACAACACAGAAAACCACCGGGAACCAACCAACAGCACGCAATCTAGAGAACCAGTCTTTGGATGGCCTATCGACTTAAATTTTGAATTAATGTACTGTGATTGGTTTGTTTTTCACTTCAGCATAAGCCCTGAAGCTTGTAAGCTATACAGTTACCGTCTTACGTGTTATGCTTAGGTGAACGCTTTGTAAACAAGTCCGCTAAAAGTCGACATTATTTTTATGTTAATGCGATGCTTATATGTATGTTTGCATTGTGCATGAGCCTTTAAATCTGCTTTGTGGATCCTTGATACGGAAATACCGATTGACGGCAAATCGCGTGTCCTTCCGTCCATCAACGCCGTCAGTTGGTCCTTCCGTCTCAAATTGATATTCCACGATCGATCTCAACGTACTCAAGGCTTTGGAAATTTCAAACGGATATTTTGGTTTTGTGGGTACATTACATGAAGCCTGAAATACATTTTCAAAAATTAATCAAAAATAGAACCAAATTGTTTTATTGAACTTCGTCCTCGGATAGCGTAAAAGGACGCTTAAGATAATGGCGCAGGTCTCACGTTCCTTGAAATCACTGATTTTTTGGAAATGGAGAAGTGCAATTTTGTGGATGCGTCTTGCTACAACTAAAATAGTGAAGATGTAATTTTACGTGAAATATAGACCATTGAAAAAATGTTTAACAATTGTTTCCACAAAAACAGCTCCATTTTTTCTTGAAAGTTTCTCCTTATACGTATCATGGGACTGTAAAAAATACGGTATTAGTTCCATTTTTGGCGAACTCTACGTATCTTTGAGAATTGCAAAACGTTGACATTTCAAAACTACAAAATTGAAGATAGAGATTTTTACCTTATACAAAGTCTATTGTAAAAAATAAGCACTTTAGAAAGGGCAATATACATTTTTTTAAAACTAGATTTCGCGTAATTTGTCTAAAATTGCTAAAATAAATTATTTTCTACTAAACCAATTTTTCCATTCAATTTTCTTCTCGTATGTAACCATGGGCGGTAAAACAGTTGGGCTAGTCCCATTTTAGGCAAATTCCCCGCATTTTCGAAAATTACAAAAATTGAGTAATGGAACATTGGGTTGAGACATTTGTTAGCGTCTGCCCGAGTTCGATCCTTACGACTCTTCTGTAATAGTGGTATGGCTGACGGAGAGAGTAGGACCTGAGTTCGAGTGTCGATGCGGAAAATAATTGTTTGGTTGAAAATATTTTTGTATATTGATGAAGTAGTCTAATATAGCGGAGCCGTTAAAAATATTGCGAGAAAGTGTGTGCTTTTATAAAAAAACGTCTATGTTACGTCTGCTAAATCTATTAACTTGAATCATTTACAAGCATCCGCAGTCCATTGCAATACCTGGAATTATTAGCATTTTATCTGTCAGAAAGAAAAAGAAAATGCTTGGAAGTAACGAAGAGCTTATTTCTAATACAATTCAGTTTTATGGATGTAGTGTATTTGGAAGAGCAACAATGAACCAGACTTTTTGAAATCACAGTAAAACTCTTTTCACTTGCAAATAGAATTATTTTATTCAACATTAAAATTCTCAATTACAGAATTTGGCTATTCGACAAACATAATTATTCAGAAAAAGCAACGGTTCCGTACTAGCAACGCAAGTAACAAAATCAAAAGACGCACCTGGCGCTGATGTATAACAGTTTCGAAGCTGGATCTCGTGTGTGCGTGGGGTGTCGTCTGTTCATCTCAATTTGTATGCGTCGAAGGTGCAGTGAAGAGGAACGGGCTATTCCTTTCACTTAGACGAAGCTTGAATGGCATTCGTGCAAGGCATTGGGAAGCTGTATCGTCGAATATAGAATGGTTGTAAGACAGCATTCTTACATTTTTCAAATAGCACACCACGTAAAGCATTAGCTTCGGGAATCCATAGGCCCTTCACCTAGCAGTATGTCCTAGCTCGTGCATTAGGGGTCTGTGGCAAATCCAGTACGCTAAGGAAATACACGCCTTTTGTTTTCAGTCGGTAAATGGGGATCGATCGTTTGCGGAGGGGATGCCGGGACACGTCAACAGGTTTCGCATTCTGTTTTGTTGGTAATTGCAACGCACAAACACACGCAGTGGAGTCGCGGAGGCGGACGTTGTGTGTCCTTTTGGACCTAGGGCCATCTAGCTTATCATCGGTCACCAACGTGAGCTGTCAACCACAAGTAATAATTAAATGTTTTGATGTCTAAAATTCCCTCTCATTTGCCTTTGAGAGAAGTAAGATTTTGCTGCGCCAGCACTCTTGTCTGGTGCAATGTAAAGCAGACCCGATGTCGATGGACACCTTGCAATGTAGGTCCAAAGGTAAGGTTTGTGCGTTAACTAAACGATTGTAGGATTAGACGCAAGCTCAGAACAAACGACTTGAAAGCGTTGTCACAAATGCACGACCAGACCCACTTTATGTTCTTACGTAGTCGTATGCGTAGTAGATTAACACTATATCGTGTGCGAAACGGCATACGAGCGTGTTAATCTACGGCGCGCGTCAGGTGAACGCTCGTATGACACAGGCCTAGGTCTACAACTTATGTGAAATTTAGGATGAATTTTTTTACGTATCAAGTATCACCCAGTAAATATTAAAACAAAATTTTACCAAGAAAAATTTGAACTTGCATGATTATAAAAAACACTCATTACAAAAATATGATGTATTCATTTTTACCTTTACTATTGGCGCTATCCTTTTAATTTGTATAGCCTCAGCGACTTAAATATTTTCTATGATCTAATCCATACTGCCATTGAAATACAGAAAAGTTTTTCAATTTCACCTTAAGTTAATTCCAAAAAGAAATCTGAAGCAATACCTAATTTGATGACTTATAAACATGTGACAGCAAATTATTTGCAAGAAATAGTACAGCTCTCCAAATTTGTTTTTATGAAGAAGCATATTTAATTGATAATCATATTTCAAATAGTAATAGTTTTAATTACTTATACAACAATCGTCTTAACATTTCTTTCTTTGAAATACAAAAATTTGAAATACTTCAGCACATTAAGGAACTGAATAACAAGTCGGCTGTTTCTGATTTCCTTACCTGAAGATCATATTCCATTATATCTCTATCTATAAAGCAGGTGATGAATCATGTGTATGCATTTATACACCTATTTCACTATAAAAAATCATCCCTCTAATTCTTGAAAACATTTATTTGTAAATTCTTAGTTTCCTAACTAGAAGAGTACATACATGAATGACAAGCGACATGGTTTTCAAACTATTTAAAATACCACAACCAATCTCTTGATTTATGAAAATTATATTCAACAAGAACTTGACAATAGAAAGCATGTTTGCAATCTACACTGATTTTCCTAAGGCATTTGATAGAGTTGACCATTCTATCATAAAACAAAAGATATGTTATTGAAATAAGAGGACAGGTGTATAAATGGTTACTACCTTGAAAATCAATCTTAATTCAATTTAATTATCTCAACTCATTTCAACAATGGGGCACAAAAAAACACTTGCTAGTAACCCAATGAAAAATAAAGTAATTACTTTTACAATTAATAAATCCCCTTTAGTTAATAACTATACTGTTGACAATACTATAATAGAATGAAAGTTCTTGACATTTCCTTGGATGAAAAAATTATATTTATACCACACATTGATTATATATATAGCTATAAAATCCCTGAAAATGTTAGGATTCATCCTCCATACAACGAAAGTTTCAATGATATAAAATGTATAAATACACACTACACACTAATGAATGATATAAACTGAAATATTACATTGAGCAATTTAAGTGTGAGGAAATGAAAATAGATGTAGTTGGTATGTGAACATAGACACTAGATTCCAAGAAGAGCCAAACCTTCCTTATCAAATGATGGAATGTCAAGTTCATGCACAATTCTACAAATAAAAAACACATTGTAGTTCTTAGTTTTGTTTATTCCTTCTTTGCTCTTTTTAAATAAATGCATTTTCGAAATAACAGTAACTGCAAAAAATATAAAACAAGTTGCCGATATTAAAATGGATTACTAAACATACACAGTTTGCTTTCTCATGCAGTATGAACCCATTTCATTTATTTCAAAAATATAACTAGCACTAAGGCACTTTCTTCTCGAATGAGTCTAGAAAAATACAAGAAAGCATTTCTTCACTGCTCACAAGTCCTCTGTACATCACAGAACACTGACATTACACTGACACAGATAAATGATACGGGTTTAATACTTCATTAGACATTTATTGATTCCAAGCTTCAAATCTTTCACGTTTCTTGGGGCACCGGCCAGCAAGCCGTAAGTACGAACCAAATTCACATGCTGGTACTTTGCACTCTGACTTTTGAATACACCTGTGAACACATTCAGTACATTAAATTAATATTCATACTTCAAAATACAATGAATATTTCTCATCACAAAACACACACACTCACACACAAATTGAGTTACTAAAGCAATGTGAACCAAATCAGTCTGACTGTCTTTGATTTCTTTTAAATATCTGAGATTAAAAGAAATATTTTTGACTCGCAAGACAGTGGAGTCAATAAAGCAGAAAATGTTTTATGTTCCAGTTTTTAAATATTCTCCTTATTCCAAAGCCCACATATAAAACACAAATCTCTGTTGTAACTAATTATCACATGAAGATGAAATTTAATGTTCACTTTCTAATTATGCAAGAGTTTTTTCCCGCAATGACTTCGCAACAATCTGCAGTAGTGAGAAACGAGGTACCATGAGGTTCAGATAATACGTTTTGATAGTACATTTTGATCATTAATACTGCCATAACAAAGAAGCTGTTATTTTGTGAATCTTTGACCCATCGATGAAATATCTTTTATACATTAAACTATGAGAACTGCAAGAAACCTCCACTTCTCACCAATACATTCATTTTTCTACTATTTTTGACGATAAATAAAATATATAAAAACCTGAAATATAAGATTCGTGCTTCCACAGATGATTCTATAATAAAATCAATGGTTTTAAAAAGGGTCTTGGTCAAGGCTACGCAAAAGTGGGCGATACTGTTTTCAAAACCAATGATCATTAAATTTCAAATTATACCTTAAGAGTATTTGAGTCAAGGTAAATCTTCATCTTCAAATTTTTGGAATTGAATTGTGGGTTAGGTATTTCTATTTATTTTTCAGCAGAATTGTAAGCTAATATATAATTGTTGTGACTATTTTCTTTAGTATAATAATTTTAGGGGGAAAACATCTTTAAGAAAGCAAGTTTCTTGGCTAGATAACACCCAAAAATTAAATTATATATGAAACGTTTTGGCCCATACTTTGAAGAACTGATGCTGAGAAATCCTGTTTCATGGACCAAAGTAAATATACGTGCGAGTTTATATGTTTTTACAAGTTTCCTTTAAATGAAATAATGCACAATTTAAACTAACCAACAAATTGCTGAAGACAACTTAAAATGAAAAATATTATAATTTGTTAATAAAAAAGTTACAATTTACACCACTTGATAAATTAAAAATTATTCCCATATGGATTTATTTTAATGAACAAACAATATATTTATATATAAATATTTTCATACATTGTCATTTTCTGAAATATTCTTTAAACTATTTCGATAACATTGCAGACATTATTATTTATCAAAATGTTAATTCTGAACTTAACTTCCATTTTAAATTAAGCATCAAGTTCATGCAATAATTCATTTTACTCCTTTCTCGCCTTTACTTATGTCCGAAGAGAAAGTATTTTTATCGTGCGCCAGAAAATGCCAATTTTCGACAGAAAACGCTTATTGTCAGGTTCTGTACCTAAGTATAGTAAATTTCTTCCTATAACATCTTATGTGGTCAGAATCCCCCTTTTATGGGCCCTTGATACCGAAAAATCGATTGACGGCAAACCGTTCGGGCCCGCCCGCCGATTTTCTCCAAAACTGAGATTCCCCTCTCGATCTGAACGAATTCTAGGATTTGGGAGTTTCAATCGGACATTTTGTTTTTTGAGAGCACTTTACATGAAACCTCAACATTTTCAAAATTCTCAAAATAGTTACAAACGTTTATTAAACTTTGTCTTTGACTAGAAAGGAAAATAATGGTGCAGGTATCAAAATTGCTCAAATCCGTGATTTTTCGAAAAGGGCAGTTTTCGGGGGTCTTCCTTCAACAATATAGACAGATTTTGAAGTTAGTCATGCTCAATTTTTTAAAAATATGAATAGTTTTTGTGTACTTTTGAAAACAATTTTCTCAAAAACCGCTCCAAATTTTTTCTTTAAATTTTCTCCTCATATGTATCAAGGGATGGTTACAAAATATGGTGCGAGTCCAATTTTCGGCAAACACTACATATTTTCCGAAATTGTAAAAATTGATTTCAAAAAAACAAAATTGAGATAGTGATTTTTGCCTTAAACAAAATCTGTTCTCAGATCTTTCTGAAATCAGATATTTAAAAAACGACATGTACAGTTTTTTGAAAAGAAAAAAAAATCGTGCAATTTGTGTCGGAAATTCATGTAATTTCTAAAAAAAAAAAGAAAGATTTTTCTCAAAAGCCGCTCCAAATTATTTTTCTTTAATATTTAACAAGAGATGCTTAATAGAATTATGCAAGTCTCATTTTCGTTTATAACGCTGAATTTTGGAAAATTGCTTGTTACAACTATTGGGTTGATACAGTACATTTGTAAACGTTGGCCTGAGTTTAAAACTCGCAGCATTTCCATAGCGTAAAGGTAAGGCTCACAGTGATTTCACTCGGTGGAACTGAGTTCAAGTCTCAGTGCGGAAAAATAATATTTATTTAAAACTATTGAGCAGGTTTATGTAGTACTATGATGTAGAGGAGTGGTTACAAATAATGGGATAATGTAAGTGCTGTTGTAGCATCTAGTTTATAAACTGATATTCAGCTTTATTTCCTAACTCTACCACACAAGAAAGTAATCATTTGCGAAACTGTATAACCCCTTTCGATCATACATACTGAAAAAATCTGCTGTATTTTAATTGTGCAGGCTTTCTGTGAACATCACTATTGTAAGGAGAGAAAGCAAATCGAGCAGCCAGCTGGCAAGGTGCTGACAGATGTTAGGAAACTGTCAGTATTTGCATTTAGTGATGCTGAAATATATTCTGATGAAACGAGAATGGTATCAATACTCTATTGCTGTATCAAATCTTTATTTTCACCCATTAGAATCACAACTGTGTCAACAATTTACTGTATGCAAATTTGTTAAGAAACACATTAAAATCTGTGTTTCCTTATAAAATACTTTTTTGAACAAGCCACCTTACCTTTCCAACACAATTTCTGAAAACATCTTGTTTTAACATGCGGGATCAAAATTATTAAAAATTCACACTTACTGCCGATCATGTGTGCTGAAATACTCCTTCCCTTTCTTCAATCGCAGACATTCACGATGTTTATCAAAGCAATCACATATACAGGATCCATCGGATGTTGGACGAACTGCATACTTGCTGGGGCAGTGGCAGCTAAATAGATTAAATTAATTAGATTAGATTAAATCATATTTGATTAGTTGAAGAATTAATTTAACCAATGACTTAATGGACCTTTGTGAATCAAACGAGTGCCTTTGTGTATAATTTCTGCCTTTAGTAACATGCCAGCAAAATATTTTTTTTTTTTTTTGCAGCATGACGTTATTCTGGTGTGAAAATCTAATTTAGATGAGTTGAACTCAAATTTTCATTTTTTGGCCATGCTTTTAAATGACTGGAACACAATTGGGCTAAACCAAAGTAGTAGTGCTAATCATTTGTTAGTTTATAGAAAATTATAGCCCTGAGGAAGTCCACGACAAGATGGTCAAAACATCGGCAACACAGCCTTCAACGTGGCGTCACCCTAGACAGCCAAGATCATGCACATGAGATTTGCATGTTCATAATGAACATTTGAGAAAAATCGAGCATAGCTTTAAGATTCTGGTTTTGCAAATGGTTAGCAGTACAAATAATAGCAGCAAAAAAACACTGTTAAATTTTGAAAAACCAACGTTACACTGTTAAGTATTTAATACTGAAGAAACAGTAACATGAAAGTACCTTGTTACTTGAGTTAGGAAATTTATGAAATCGTCTAAATCTGAAATGTGTTTACAAATGTTTGGATATATACATAAGAATTTGTAATATGGTTCATTTAACAATATGTATATGAGTTGATATGAAAACAAGTTTATCATTAGAAACGAAGAGTTCAGTTTCTAAAAAGGGCAAAAGATAGTCTCATTTTTCAATAACAGTTCATATTGCATCACTTGCACAGTGCACCACAAGAATATCTTTAGTGTTAAATAAATTTAAAAATTGCATAGGAAATACTTTGCTTTTATTTCTTATTGAACAATACTGACAAACGAGACTGAGGAATATTGAGCTTCCAAATGCAGAATTTCTTATTCAGAGCTGGCTCACTAGTGAACCAAGTCCTCTTTTGCTATAGTAGTCATAAAACTATATCTCTATACTTTTTCTTCATCGACCCAATGCGTATCAGAAACCACCTTGGGCACTTTGGCATGGAGTAATCATCCTTTCTAATGACGTTTCCCCTCTCAACTCTCGCGTGTTCAACATCTTTCCTCCCAGCTTCTCTAATTACACCTACTGGAGAGAATTTCACGGTGTAATTTTGCCATTTGCTCTCCCTCCTAGGGCTATTCCCGACTGCATCCAGTTCCCCAAAGGAACTGAGATACCTACAAACGGAGATTAGTGAGACTATATATAGTAAGAAGCATCGTTTACATTAAGATTCGGCGATCGTGAGATTGTGACATTACACGGCATTTTTTTATTTCGGTAATCATTATACCAACAATCATGTTCTTATACACTCAAACGTTGGATGTTAATTATTTCCCCAATCTGGGAAGCCAACTAAATTTTCTTTACTACATATGAAAAGTTAATTATGTGGGTTCAAACAGTTGATTTTTTTAAAGTATATGAATGGTGAATTTGAGCATTTACTGTGTATACATCTTGAGAGCGTAGGCTTCCGCGGCCGGAGTCAGTATTTACTAGGCTGTCCGGGTGACGCCGCGTCCATGGCGAAGGTGCCAACGTTTCGGTCGCCATTCTGCGACCTTCCTCAGGGCGTAATGCCCCAGAATGGCGTCACCCGGACAGCCTAGCAAATAGTGTATACATCTTACTTTAATCTTGAAGATGCGAAAACTGATTTTTGAAAGTTAAACGGGTCAAACTTCAACATACGCAAATTAAAAATTACAAAAATTTACTGCCTTGGGAAGAGAGAGGGCCGCAACTACATTGGTATAATCAACTGTTTTGTAATAACAAGAGAGAAAATGTTAGGTTTTATGAGAAACAAAAATAGAGGTATTTTTCGGCAAGAAAATTTTATTCAAACATTGGTACTCATCACTTGAAATTCCTACATCCTCAATTCAGATCACAAGACGTGCAGAAAATTGGCAGATAAGGCAGTTGAAAAGTAGCTGTGACAAATGTATTTGTTGCTCCGAGCAATTAGTATGGTCGCTCCACGTACGCCGGACGAGGCGACGTGTCAGCCGCCTAATGCTCGACGATAGCGGCGCGGGGAAGTGAGCGCGCATGCGCATTGACTGGGTTGGCACGCGAAGACGCGCTCACGCCAGACCGTCCTTGCAACTTCGTACGCACTAAAAACTTGCCGCTGGCGCTCTCTTCTCCAAGTTTTGTCGGGTAGTGGGCATTGTCATTGAGGAAAACATGAATAAGCATTTCGGAGTCACGATGAAAGTGTAGAGTCTCACTATCAAGGAAATTATCTAGAAACATTAAGGATCCTTGCACACTGAAAGATGATTTGGAGAGCAATACTGTGTAAAGGAATTTTCATGAAATTCCATTGATTCCATTAAATCGTTTTGGATATCAGAAATATACAAAACGATTTAATGGAGTCGGTCAGTCGCCATAAATGAGAAAATTCGAAAAGAAATAATTAATGTAATATTTGTGTTAATACAGTCGTGACTCACTACTGACGTTTTCGTGAAGGCATACCTCTGTATTATTGTTAGGTATGTTTATGGCAAAACCACCTAGAAAGGTTTTATGGTTTTCTATTATGTCTCGGGTGATAAAACTGCCGAGGGAATATCTAAGAATAGGACAATATGAGAGTAAACTTATTTAACAAACATAAGGAGCGCTCCAAAGGTCGCGGGCTCCAAATGTTTGTGTGTGTTCGTGTTGCGCTTACGTGTTCTTCCTACTATTCCCCCTACAGTTAAAACAATCACAGTGGTCATTATATGACCAAGTTGTTAAAAAGCGACTAAAAACAGTATACGGAGCTTCGTTTTAGGTGGGGCGGCACGTGTGGTGCAAGCCATGTTTCGTCGAAAATACCCGAATGAAATTTTCGTCCACGGTTCGGACACTAACAGAACCAGGTTCTTTTCAGTTTTTGAATAGAAGTGTTTAGAATATATATACGTGACTAAACGTATCTAAAAATTAAAATTACTCATCGCCAATGGCGGCTTGTGGATCAGTTTTCATAGAACAAGGTATGGTGTATGTTGTACAATGGCAGACAGCCGTGATTGTAAATATGAACATAAAAATAATGATCCTTGACATATTGTGAAAATAAAAAGCTAAGCTTGGCCAGTAGTTAAGTATGCCAGTAGGATTGTCGTGGGAAAAGAAAACACAATCTCACTTGAGTTAGAAAAACACGCATTTCGTAAATAGCTTAATGTCATAAAAATGGCGGCCGGACAAAAACGCATTAGTAATAGGTACTGCTAAGTATGAAATGTACGGTACACAAGACGAAACAAAATTAGAAGATATGCTCCGTAAAACAAAACAGATGTTGAGTAGTGGCACATTATACAACTGAAAACAATCAAAATATTCTATAAAATTGGCACAGAAATGATTTAAAATGATGTTTTAAAAATAGCATTTGAATTCCAGAGGAATCATAACTCTTTGCACATGCAACGGCAAATGACTGCTTATCACAGAAAAAGTTGATCTAAAATTATACACACGATCTACAATGATCTATAATTTTGTAATAGCATTCACTTGAAGAAATTAAATTATTCTAAGCGAAACAGTAAAATCATCTCTTTACACTCCCATTATTGCAGGCCGATTTTTTGCGCCTTAAAACATTTTTGCTGCCTAAAAGAAAGAAAAAATAATTGGAGTCTGATTTTATCAACTTGTTCAATATTATCAATAATTCACTACATCCAATACAATAAAATCGGAGACACCACGAGATCTTTGCTTACTAACTTGTACATTATGTTGGCGCAGCGATAGTACCAAAGGACAGAGAACGCCCACATGATACAACTGTAAGCGTTTACATTGACAGTGGGGTAGTCTGGAGATAAGCGCTGCGACTATCGATAAAAGTGAAGAAAACGCGCTGGTAGGCGCTCTCTCCCAAATTCACAGCTCTGGTTCTTGCAAGTGGGGAATTGTATAGAAGAGGGATGCTGTAAAGCCAATTAATTGGATTTTTCTGAGAAGCTAATTATGGAAAAGACAAAATGATACTATATTTGCGTTGGATAATGTGAAGGCAGAATATCCCTCCGAAATGAGCAGAAGACGTATATTCACACATTAGATTGCATTTTGATATTAGTCTTTAACCTCACCATTATACGACATGAATACAAATTATCACAGGAGGAATGTCAGTTTGTTATTTTGTGCTGGGGAAAATGAAATGTGCACTCCGGTAAAATACACACCAATTCCATCTACGAGTTTAAAAACAAATGGCAGTCGACGCAAACAACAGTTCCTAATAAAGAAATATTTTGTGCAATTGAATGTTTATATCTCATTTGTAATACCAAATTCACTGCATTTAAAAAAAAAATTAAAAACATTTGAACAAATGGGTCTCCATTGTCACCATAACCACCAACATCTATGACTAGTCTTTATTTACAAAGCCTTGTCGAACTATAGAACTATAGAATTTCTTATTATTGTAATACATTGATCCAGAATGTTTTGGACACTTCGATTTCAGGCATGCGCGCACACGTCCTGCGCTGGGAGTGGCGCTGCCCCGGAATAATCCCTGCTCGCGCTCCGCTTCGCTCCGCATTCATCAACATACACGCCCTCTTGCCAGGCCGTCATGGATCAATGCACGATAACGGGGGTTCTTTCGCGGGCTCCATGGCAATTGGCGGGGGCTGCGCGGGCACGGCGCCTCACCTCATGAGCAGCTGCGGGGCGCGCTCCGCCCGCTGCTGCAGGCCCACTTGGAAGAGGCCGCGGCTGTTCTTGCGCAGCGCCTGCGCGCGGTCGCGGGACAGCAGCTCCGAGTTCCGATCCACGCAACCACATTCCGTGTGGTTATAGAAACTCAGGCGTTCTACCCGCTGCAGACTACTGGGACCAGCCGTCCCCACCGTGCTGGTCTGCAACATTCGGTTCGGATAACACGTTCAACGATCTGCAGGAACTTCACATTGCACAATACACCACAAACAAATATTCATTTCACATGTGTTCCTTCTGCTCAATTAAGAAAATTTGGCAGTCATTCATACAATTTATAGATGGTTTATAATTTATCTTATGAGCTAAACTCATGATATCGGGATTTTTATATTTAGGAGCACTGCGCTTAGACTAAAACGTTAACAGCGCAAGAGAGGTGGTAACACACAGCTTGACAAATATTTTATCTTTTAAAAGTTCAGCAATAAGATTCTAAGAGTTTTTTATAATTAGTAAAAAAAATTCGCCAAGAGCTAAGTTTATTTGGTAGAACAACAGGCTGCTGTGTATTTAGAATAGTAATAAAATGAACACGAATTTCTAACATATAATACACACTAACCAACTAATTGCAGATAGTAATCTTACTTCAAAGTACTTCCGAGTATTTGCTGCATCCTTCGCGTTAGAATCCGCTCAGTTTCTTCCTCTCTGATTACATCTCGAAATAATTGCTTTTATCTTCTCCACGTGGAATTGGATATTTGAAATCCCGCAGGTGTTAGCAGTAGGCTGTTTGGAAGCTAGTGTGGGATCATCGATTTTTTTTATTGTTCTATTTTTAGTCAAATTTCTCATAAAAGTGCAACAAACATTTTGAAATAAACTTACAATACGCTAATTACTGGTCATTCTAATATACTGTGATGTACATTCATTTTTCACAATAAGACTTCAAAGACTGAGCGCTAACAACATTTAGTACTTACGTAAAAAAAGAGGTCGACGCGATGCGTTTGGCGAGGCACACATGTCAAGGATTCTGCATTGCAGCAACCCGTGTCATCTCCGCACTGATGCAGTATAGTGCAGCGTGGCAGGTAGATTTTCGATGGATGGGGATACTCGTGTTTCACCTGCACTACCCGTGGCTTGGGCACTTTACAGTCGCCATCACGGTTCACGCGTAGCAAATGGTCCACAGCTTCCGTATATCCCGCTGCAATAAATCAGATTCCACATAAAACCTCTAATTTAATCAAGTGAAATTAAAGTTTGCCTTTATTTTTACTTTCTCGCCCTTAAGAAGAGAACGTATTATAATCGTGCGCCAGAAAACTGCCGATTTTCGAGAGAAAAAAATCTGATTGTCGGGCCCTTATAACGAAAAACTGGATACATCCTCTTCACATACGTAGTAAATCACTTCGTCCAACACGCGATGTAGCCAGAATCCATGTTTTGATATCTTAAAATCCATTGCCGGAAAAAGTCCATCCGACCGTGGTCAACGCTAACGCCTAAACCGTTCACCCGATTCTCTCCACAATTCGATCTCAACGAACTGGCTTTGAGAGTTTAAGGTATAAAAATGATCATTTGAAGCAAATTAGAGATAAGTATTCCACGATTCCATCGAAGATTTTGATGCAATTTTGTATGCCGAGTTCCACATTTCTCAAAGGAACTTCTTTGAAGTTATCGCTTTATATGCGAGATTATTTTTGAAATATGGGGATTTATTTGACATCATTTTAGAGCACGACCATTCGATTTTCGCAGCTTTGGGAAACAATGCTTGATTCTCCTTTTTCACTAAACAAATGAAACAGCTCACTTGTACATCGTTATCGCTCAATTAATTTGAAATAATATTAATATTAGTATATTAATATACTAATATTAATTTTCCATTAATTAATAATACACATTGGATAAATTTCAGCAAAACTCAAGCTCCATCTTTCTTGGTTCAACACTGAAGTCCCGTATTTATTGGCAGTATTGCAGATACAATTTATATGATTTTATTTATTAGTGAACGAAATATGTATCGTGTGCGTGAGTGTGTATGAGGAGCCACCAGGGGATTCAGAGAGTTCTAAAAACGGTTCTATCTTCTTAAAACGAACATTCAGACACCGCAATAATTTTGATGAAATGCTAAGTACTGCAACTGAGCTTACTATTTCGTGTGATGTAGATACAGATTTCCCACACCTACAGGCGAAAACAGAAAGCTATGTTCGGTTATGAACAAGATATCGGTACAAATAATCCAAAAGGCAATACCCGTACACCGTGTGAACTGCACTTCCGTATAGACGACTATTATTGACACTACAGTTTCAGGAAAGATTTCAATTGCTTAAATAGCAGAGTGGTGCGTTTAATTTTATATATGAATTCAAGAAACTAGCAGACATTAGTAAATCAGGCATATTAAAAATCAGGCCTATGGACCTATAATTTAAACTAACCGATGAAACTGATGAAGATGGTCCATAAGATATAAAAGCAATAGAATTTGCAGATGAACTAAACATAATCACAAAATTTTTCATATCAAAATCATCACCAATCGAAGTATTAGAAATAATATATCAAAGTAAACTAACTGGGTCAGTCCCTAATATTACTGTGGTATTAAAATTTTATTAACTTTGCCAGTTACAGAAGCTACCGAAGAAAGATCATTTTCAAAATTAAAAAATAAACTTCTAAAAACTTCCTTCGATCTAGTATGTTACAAGAAATATTGACAGATATGGCTATGATTTCAATTGAAAGTGAAATCTGCAACTATATTTATTGAGAGAGTATCATAAAAAATTGCGTTTGAAAGTTCGGAAAGTGCCTTATTTCATATTTGAATTAGATAAAAAATCGCAATCTTGAACATGGTATTTTACTAGTATGAAGTCGGAAAAAAAATTGAACTTTAACAATTTTCGAAAATTCAGGAATAACAGTGAAAATTTGACCTACAGTATCTCCATAAGTGTTTTTCAATACATTCTTATATATTTTTTTAAAATTGATGTCCTAATGATTTATGAAATATACCCCGAAAATCGCAGACACTCAAGACAGACCAGATCGACTATGGAGTATCTATTTACATGAAAAAAATACAAATAGCTTTTGAATTATAGAAAGAGTTTACTACATGAAAATTTCATTTTGCTATATCATTAATGACCAAATTTAGAGTACGAGCGTAACAAGGAACAAAAAAGGTTCTGCGATTTACATTTAAAATATGCGCCAGCAGACCTCTATTTGCCCCATTATCATACCCTTGACCACAGAGTATATTTTACTTAAATTAAGATCGGTTAAATGATCAAGTATGAAATTTGTTGATCCAGCACCTGCTGAATCGATAACTTTACAGAAACCTAAAAAGTGTTCTTTAATTTCAACTTTCTGTGTTTCACGACTTTAAATAAAATACAATTAATGAAATAAATAAAATGATACAGAAAACAGTTTCTGCAAAAGGATAGATTGAAACTCATTCGATAAACGCCGGTTACCGCCTTATAAACTGTTCTGTTTATTTCATATGACTGGTGAAATGTGAAACTTTTGATATTTATCGTTATACTTCAAAGTATTTTACTAACTCACATGGTTAATAGTGAATAGCTTTATGATATGTACTACAAATTTTGTTGATTCAATGAACGTTTTGATTAGGTATTCTAATTTTTTACCGCCCTTGTTCAATGCACCTCTCGAACCAGGGTCACAACAGCGCTGCTACTTTGGCCTGCCTGAGCTTTCTTTCATCACACAACTACAGAAACAGACGATTTGTATTAGAAAGCTACGTCTCTTTGTCCCGACCTGGAATCGAACCCGGGATCGCACTACGGAAATCTAGCACGCTGTCTATGAGCGACCCGAAGGGCTACTTTCTACCTTATTTCTAGACCTACATTTCCAGCACAAGCAGAACGGATTTAATCAATGCTCCCTCCTTGTGACGTCTGCACTCTGGTAACTGATTTTTTTCAAATACTATACAAATACTATGAATATTCTTTCAAAAAGAACAATCTTTCCATTTTTATCAGAACTACGAAACTTTGAACAACACGTAACAACTTCGTAGTATCTTTGGCAGTCCACACTTCCACAGCCATCTAATAACTGCGCCGAAATTCCTAAGAACTATATTATTTCGAAGAACCTTCAATAACTCCAATATAAAAACACCAAGAAGAAAGTTCTATTTGCTCATCTCAGCTTTCTGAGAAGAGAGTAACTCTCTAGTTATACGTCCTAAGTTATAAATATACGTTTTATATATTATTATATATTATATATACATATATTTATAAATTACAACATAAATATATAATTATAAATATACGGTATAAGTTTAGTTATTCATGTTTTGTGGGTTCTTGATACCGAAAAAATCGAACGACGTCAAAACTGTCCGTCCATCCGTCCGTCCGCGAACAAGCGGGAAAACCGTTCAGCCGATTTTCTCCAAAATTGATATTCCGCAACCGATGTATCTGATGTCGCGGCCCCATGGATTTGAAATCGATACTGTTTTAACTTTTTTGGTAGGGGGAGGGTACTTTACAAGAAGCCCCTGGAGCATTTTCAAAATTTCAAAAAATTACCCCATCGTTTTTTATTAAATTTTATGGGACAGTGTGAAGGGCGTTTAAGAAAATGGTTCAGGTTCGTTGTAAAACCCTGATTTTTCGAAAATTGCAAAACTTCAATTTCTTTAGTGTTCCTAGAACTAAAATATTAGAGAGAGATTTTCCTTTAATGAATTCTGTTCCTTTACGATAGATTTTGAAATAAGCTCATGTACAATTTCTCGGAAATTTGACAACTTTTCGCGTAATTTTGCGTGAAAATACGGGCGAGAAAGTACGTGCTGTTTTAGCATACCTTAGTATTCATACCACCCGGTAAATGAGAAAAAAATCATGACCAACGGGCGTTCTGGCTTTAGACTGAAATGTTGCGTTCCAAAGCGACAGTTGGGATTAGTAATTTTTTCTGTCAGACGATCGCCAGAGTGTGAACTACGCCGCCGAACACGCACGGTAAAGTTTCCGAAAATCGAGCCCTTTCCTGCTCGATGTAGACCGGGACCGCGAGACATTTTAAGCTTCGTAGCCCCAAGGCGCTCAGCAATTGTTGAAGTCCTTACATGGCAACCAAAGAGACAACAAAAAAATCTGAACGGCCATCTACAATATTTAGAATTGACCATTTAGAATATTTCGAGAAACTCACCATTAACACAATATTCCCCAGAAAAGAGATTTTTCTACCACGTTTAGAAAATTGCGAAATCATCAAAATATGGAGATTTTGTAGCTATAATGTACATCACCTACACGGTCTTCGACATGGGGAAGGTCCATTTTCCGTTTAAATTCAATATTAGAACAAGTAAATGTACCAAAATAATTTCTCAGTGAAGAAAAGAAAGAAAAAAAAGGGGAACAAATGAAAAAGAATCGTTTTATTCCCAGCTGGCTTACATCAGGCACTGATCAGCTAATCCTAAGAATGCGCGGGGCGCTGTACTGCCACAACACTCACTCATGGCGCTGAGAGTCTTGGAGGCGCCAGACGCGATGCGGCTGCGGCGAAGTTCGTCCACGCTGCTGCGCGTGCCCATCGTGTCCCACTTGGTTTGGCTCACCGGCGACATCCCGCGCGGCTGGTGGCTCTGGGGCTGCAACATGACAGCGCCCCCTTGCAACTGGACTGGTACAAGAACACAGTAAGAAACAGAAAAATAAAGCACGCCCGCAAATGAAATATTGAAATAATCGGCAAAGCAATTTCACAATAACACTTCTCATAATAGTCAAGAATTGGTATTTATTGTTTCGGCATTTAATTATTTAATCGTGTTGGGTTATTCCATGTCTAATTTTCGAAAAGTACCCCGCGCGGCAACACGGAGTTTGATGATATTTTATAAGCGGACTCTCGCGTGTCTGGAAGTAACTTTTGCAGTTTCATGTTCACGGACGAAAGATTTATTTTCTGTTTTTCATGTATAGAGGTGTTTGACTCCACGCAGCATCGATACATGTACGACAAGATTTTGACAACTTTGAATACATTTCCTTCTTCCTTGCTTACAACCGAATGAAATTGGCATAGAAAAAACAATTTTTCTGTCAATTTTTCCGAGAGATATTATCAAGTATTTGAATTTAATAGTGAAGTGGGTATTTTGTAGTAAAAGACGCCGAAAAATCTGTGGTAAAACATCTAGTTTTAACGTTGTCTAGTTTCTACTATATTGAAAGAAAGAAAGTGAAGTTCGTCACGTAGTATCCTACGATAACATTGTTTACCATTGCAGCTTTGTCTACCTCCTAGCTCCAACCATTACTTTACAAATGAGTGTAAAGTTGATGATTTTTGCAAAGAACCCCAGACAATGGTCATTTAACCCACTTTTAATGTGAAGTTATTAGAAACAGCACTTTTTGAAACCGCTATAAAATTGAGTTTACTCCCAATCACACATACTTTTAATGCAAAAAATAACGAGGAAAATCAAATTCGAATTGCTCAAAATTTGGAGAAAAGTCAAAAATGATTGGCATGATAGTGAGTTATTGAAAAGTCTGAGAATTGGTAAAATCCAATCACCGAGTTCACTATAACCGTCAACATCAGATTTATTCGGTTACAACATGACTTGAAATAATGGGGAGAGAAACGATTACATTACAATTCCTGACAGATCATGAATGTTTTAAGGTCTCGGTTCACAAGTTCAAACTGGAAGATTCCACACACACACAAAAACCAAAATACACACACACACACACAAAAACCAAAATACACACACACACACACAAAAACAAACAAAAATACACACACACACACACAAACAAACAAACAAAAATACACACACACACACAAACAAACAAACAAAAATACAC